GAAAATCTTAAAATATGTGTTCATTTATTTTATTCACATGGTACTTTTTGTGAGCTACAAGTCAATCGCCCCGTAAAATATAAAGTATCATACAAACTGCAAAATCGTATTTCATCCTCTTAGGAGTTATTTTACCAAAAATCCTTTCTTAGTAGATGCCTACGTTATTATTGACATGTAAGTATCCTACGACATTATTGACACAATAAAATCCCAGAAAATATACAAAATTTGATCTGCATGCAGTTCAAAAACTTTATTATACTAAGTTTATATAAAAGGATTATTATAATATTAAAGAATTTATGGATGATAATAACCCTTAGGAAAGGTGATGGCTAACAAGCTATTTCTAATTTGTTTTGTGTTGTTAATTGTAACGTACATGATTGTAAGCTGTTTAAAAAAAAGTTCCGTTAGGTTTCTTGCTGGTTCCTCCCAGGACAGAGGTTCTAGTCCGAACCAGTGGTAAATTAAAAAAGTGACTTTCAATAAATATTTATAATCTATATTGAATAAAAAGGTCTCTGTTTCTGTATTAAAAGGTGACTTGAACAGTAGCTTTTTACGTCGAGCGGTTTGGGCTGTGTGTAGTAAGAGACTCTCGTACATTTAACACGAACTTACATTCATACACTCACACATACACACGCATTTACACTATACACACTTCTCATCTGCTGGCCGACGAATCGAAATTGAGAATATAAATTGAAGAGAATACATATTGCTATATAGGTAATTCCATTATAGCCTATAAATGTCGACTGCTAGGCTTCGATAATGGATTACTTCATAAGGGGGAATTTGCAATAGTTGCCACTGCTGGCAGCTGCAGTTTTTATTGTTTTGACTTGAGGTTCCCTCTGTTATCTCTTACGACACCCACGGGGCGATATGGGGCAGTGGACATTTTTACACCGCTACTATACGGTGTATTAATATGTGACATAGGTCATTAACAGCTTAGAATTATTATTTACAGTCCACTAACATAAAACAACATAACGCTATAATCAAAAGTAAACAGACCAAACATATTTTAAACAAATTTGTAATAACCCTTCCAAATTGTAATGGTATGCGGAAGCTTTTAATATATTAGGGCCTTAAATTACGCGTGACGCTTATACTGAAAATAATTCGAAAATATTATTGGAAATTTAAATATAGAACCTACTGATGGCGCGGTTTAAGGGGATATAGTATGTCAGCTCAAATTCTAATTTCGCCCCCACTTCCCCGCGCGTCGTATGCTATGTACCGACATGTTTGTAATCACTAATACTGTAAGTAGATAGGGCGTTAGATACTTATTTCATTAGGTTTATTATATTTATGCTTGTTTCTTAACGCCAACCCAGTCGCTTCTTATTTTTATCACGGTTATTTCCCATTTTAATTTACGTCGTTCTGTTGCGTAATGTGTATTCTGATCGTAAGCGACACAACTTCTCCCTTCAAAAGCCTAAGCGATACTAACAGGGCGGCATGAATCAAGCTTCAAGAGGCCGATAATTTAGGTAATTTCTTTTTACAGTGAATATAATGGTATTTTAAAAAAGTAAATAACATAAGCACTGCTTTATAGTTAGTTCAGTTAGTATGCAAAGTTTCATGATCTTATTTAAAGTATTTTATGAATAACAGCGGTTTATTGTTCAGTTTGGAGGTAACTTGGGATTGTTTTTCTATCGAGAAAATTTTACGGAATCGTGTTTTCGTCTAACATAGTCCTTAACATTAATCCTCAAATTTACCATATATTTATTTCAAAATTAATGCTGCAATATTTTCGGCATAACAGAGGATCTTGCTAAGCCATTTGAGGTTATATTTCCCCTTAAGCAGTCGCAAACATACGGAATGAGCGACATCCGCCATAATTTTGGCTTTGGAACTTAGCCTGTAAAAGCAAACAAAATTAATGTACGTTTCCATTTGATTTGTTTACGGATGATGTCGGCTACGTAATTAAGCTATACATTGTAAATATTTGAAAGTACCGTGATAAGTCGGGGCGCTTTTCATAAATATGTAAAGCAAACAGCATAAGCTCGGTCTCTGCTGGTATATGTAATTTTTATCGTAATTTTAGGTTCGTAAATAAGCAACTGACATGTGTTGAAAATTAAAAATTTCAATTACATAAAACGTACAGAAAATTAGAAGTATTAATAAACTAAAGTTACAGCCTGTATGTGTATATTTTATAGCCGGCTAAATGGCGTATTGGGTTCGAATCACACACATTTTTGTATGGCCCACAAATAATTGCTGTGAAAAAAAAGTAAAGTGTGTGCAATTATTTTTGTTAACTGCATCTACAAAGCTAGCCCAGCCCTGATCCACATGCGTTCATCGACTCCCTGAATCTTTTACCAGGTCGTCGCTCCAACCAATGAAGAGCCGACTTACACTTCGCTTATCGGTACGAGGCAGCCGCTCGAGAACCTTTACTGTTATTGCAAATTTCCTTCATGTAGGTCCTAGATTCTAGGGGTTACAAAGTGCAGACTTAATGTGTCTTGATGTTCTCTACCAGTCAACTCTAGCTATATAATCGGACCAATTTCAGTGTATTGATTTGTTGGGCTATGTCAGTTATTCTGTAGATATTCTCATTACAAAGTCTTTAATACAGAGAAACTCCAAGCATAGAACTATATGGCTCACTCAGCGACCTTGAGTTTCTTCATAGAGACGGTAGTGCATGTCCACGTATCAGATTCATATTACGTCTGGTACTTTAAGGTATATGCACAGAGAAGATTTGTTATTATCTCTCGTACACCACCAAGTAGAATTGGAACCGTCGATTGAACACTCGATCGAAGTTTGGACTTACTTCGTGAGACTATATGTGATTGACTAGGTTTACAACTTCAAGTGAAGTGCTCCCAACTACTACCGGTAAAGATGTGATATGGACGTTACTCATGCCCTTTGTTTGTTCACGTTCGTTTTAAGACTTATTCGTTGAGAGATACTACTGAGGTTGTTGGGTACTGAGGTCTTCCATTGAGCACAGAATGAGTGTAAGGTGAATGTAAGATGAGTGATGGATTCGCCATTGATGTTAATACCGTATCATTTCCAGTCCAGTAGCTCGTAAGTTTCTTTCAATGCAGCGGTGAACAGTTTCGGCGATATAACGTCATCCTGTCTTACACCTCTCTGCAATTGGATAGGTTTCATACTCTGGCTCTATACTGGGGTAGCCATCATAGCTCTACTGTACCAATACTTCAGTACATCGATATACCGACAGTCAATTTGGCATTGCTGAAAGGCTTGTATCACCGCTTAAATATCAACGGAATCACAGGCTTTCTCGTGGACGCAAGACAAAGTGGCAGATTGTACTGTGTGTACTATACTTGTGTTTTCTGTATAATTTGGTAAAGAGTGTTATGGTTACTAAAGTCTTTTTTGTAAACCGGATTATTCGGGAGGATAGAAATTGAAGACTTCTATCCTCCCAAATAAGCCGGTTTCAGTCTGCGTGCGAGACGATTTGTAATGATTCTCGAAAACAGCACGTAGATGTGGCTCAGAAGGGAAATCTGTCTATAGTTTTACAATTTAAGAATTTATTAACAGTCATAAATTAAAATGTTATTATAATAAAACGAAAAAGAATTGTTTAGCTATTAAGTAAAATCTACAGCATGCCATTAATAATAGATTTAAAAAATGAGCTTTGGATAAGCCAATGACGTTTCTACGGTAAAGATGTCCGCACGGTAACGTACCCGTAGCATAAATACGTTTCCTGGCGTCGCGTCTAGCGATCTGATATAATTTAAAGTTATATGCCGCCAAAGCGTCAGATAATTTCAAGATTTTTAAATTATGTCAAAAGTCATGAAACTAAAAAATTATTTTGCGTGGCGCCTACGTTTGCTGAGTGCTGGCGTGTTTGATATATATTTCCGGCTTTCTCGTATCATGACACTTATGTGTTACATTTCAGTGCGGTGTTCTTTTGGTTTAAAATTAGATAATGTTATATCACATCTCTAGATATTTCAAGTAAATCTTGATCCTCACGACACCATGCATCTATTGTAAAAGAAATTGTAAAACGATTTTAAAAAGCCCCAGATTTTTGTGTCGGTTTTTCTCTGAGAATGTCTTGTTTTTTATGAACCGTTGTAGATTTTGCCGCTAATAAAAGTTTAAATAATATAAAAAAATATAAAATTAGTCTAAACTGAATAAAACTGGTCGTGATTTTTACTTCTTGGGGGAGGTCTATGTTCAGCAGCGGATTTGTGAAGGGCTGTAATGATGATGACGATGACGCAACTGAATAAAACCTTTAACTTTGACTTTAAGTTTTTTATGGTGACAAAATACGTTAAAAGTCCACATGAAGGTAACTGCCAACTGCTACTCCGTGGCACCTACATTCAACTTTAGACAAAGGGGTGATTTGAGTCACCACTCACCACTGCATTGAGACCAATTAAAGAATGTCTTAAAGCCTGTTATACAAATTCTACGTAGTCTTCAAACTCTAGCAATACGAATGTGGTTTAACTATTACAACGAACGATTAGTGGTATTTGATGCTTGTTAGAAGAAATTTTTGGGTATACTCATATTTATTTACGAGGTGTAATCACGCAGCGATAATGACATCAGCTTGTATAGTTTCAAAATCAATTTCATTAAACAGTTATTTGGATAACGAATACTTGATTGAGTCTTCATTGAAATCAATTCTATACTATTAATTAAAAAAAACCTAATCAAAAAAGAGTTAATTAGTGACGGCAGATCTAATCGCGCCGACGCCGATTTTTAATTAATATATTTTTACTTAAATCACAGGATAAACAACTTAAATCAAACGTCTGTACATAGCCAAGTTTAAAAGGCAAATCGTAGAACGAAAACAAAATGTTAAAAATACAAACTTACACTGCACAATAAAAACATAACAAAAGCTTTGTTAATCAGAGTTTTACGGTGAAGTTGAATAAATGGCGTTTATGAGCGGACTGTGGAATTCAATCGTTGGTGGCAGCGAAAAAGAAGTCAGCTGGAACGAACTGTCAACCTTTTATTTAGATACCAGTAGGAAATATTTTTCCGTTTCGGAGATCGATAAAGAAGAATCGCCGATTGTATTCTCAGAAGACCACAACATCTCATTCAACGAAACCGGACTTGGACTCAGTTATACGCCCTTGAATTTTGTCACATTATTCCACATCGACACTAGAAGAGGTTTGTTAGAAAAATGTTAATACAACTCGCAGCACGAAAGTCTAGCGGTGACCGTTATTGCGCATAATTGGCCGTGTTGCGCATTATTGCGTATGATTGGCTGTGCGTATCGTTCGCACGCGCTGATTGGCTCTCCAGTCGCATTACGTCCCCCGTACTGATCGACATTCGCAGATATCCTCTCCACGTTTCGTTCAGCGCTAGAGTTACGTGTCGCGACTTATAGTAATGTAAAGTATGAAAGTGAATGGATATAAGAGTGGAGATATGTTTAAGAAAAGATGGGTAGACTGTCCGCGATATGCTTAAGAAAAAAGTGATTGATGAGCTCATGGCTAATAGAGGAGAATGGAATAGGAAGACATGTTATGTCGATCTCAAATAACTTGGGATAAAGGAAAGAAGAAGAGCGAAAATAAAAAGTAGTTTAAAACTACTTTTTATTTTATATCTTGCCGTATTAACTACTACTTAAAACTTAGGGACTAAAGTATACGTTGTACTGTTAGACACTAGTCTCTTGAGAGAGTATTTATTACACCAGCTCCTTTGTTGTTGGACTTCACAAGTCTTCTAAATCTTTCTTCTTTTCTCCCTATATTATGTTATTTGGGGTTGGCATAGTGTGTCTTCCTCTTCTCTTTTCCTGTATAAGCCGTCATCTCCTCACTCATTCCTTTCTTACACATATCATCCCTGACACAGTCCATTCATATTGTCTTTGCTCTCCCACTACTTTCATATTTAACATTCTTCTTGTTAGATGATATTCTTCTTTCTGCGCAACATGCTTAATCCACTTTTCTACTTTTCCATCACATATCTTCTAAATATTTTTTGATTTCTCGTTCCTGACTATGACTGAAACAGGAATGTGTCAGCTCCAACAGGTAGGAACTACACTCGAACATAATAAAAGTGTAAAAGCACCATAATGCTGGTCTTCTTTACTGTTAAGGAGGCACTCCATTTTAGACCTCAGGGTGACAACGTATCTGCATTTTGATTTTTTAATTAAAAATGGATCCCTTTGTAAGTCACAACATACTTTTTCTATTAAGTGGACTGTCCGCTCATTTCTCACCATCAAGTGTTACTTGATTAAATTAAAAAAGATTTTGAGCATTACAATTACAGCCACGTAAACCTCATTTATTTAAAAAAAAAACAACAATAACTAAATGGATCAGGCGTTACTTTACGGATATCCACAATAGTAAGGAAGTTAAAATAAATTAGCTAAGATTTGTAATTATTTTTCAGAACTCACCTAATTAATTTTAAAATCGACAAAGCAATGACGTCAATGCTACAATTTTAAAAAACTGTTTTGGCTAGGAATGAAAATTATGAATTTATTTCGTATTCGGTTCGATTTAGTTCATTAATTATTGTACTAATAAAGATTAGTTTAGAAATATGTGATAGCGCCACGAATTTAGTGGCGTGAGGGAAGCCGTCACCACATCACATCCGAGAAGTTGTAAGACATTAATATAGGACAGGCGAGAATGACCTAACAGGCTTCGATTTATATTATACGAATTTGTATGTTATGTAAAAAGTAAAACACAAATATTATTATGTAAAATCGTTGAAAAGAATTCCTTTAATGCCAAAATCACAGAAATCGTGATAATAAGACAATAGACATGAATTGGCTCCAAAAATTACTTCCGAAATCGATGTCGCCGATTTTGGAAGTAATTTTTTAAGCTAATTCATGTCTATTACCTGCAGCCGTATTATAAACATACACAATGCACAATAATATCTAATATTTCACATTACATTGCTTGGCGAGTTTGTCAACGTCGCGTGAGTCTCGTATTACTGTAAAACGAAAGCAGCAATGGTAATTGTCAATACAAAAACTAACAAATGAAAGTTTACAAAGGTAAATATAATAAGTAATTATTCATCTAGATGTAAATTGGTTAAAACAATGATAATTAGTAAATAATCAACTTACCGATGAAATTGTATGCATTTATTAGTTGATTTACACGTCCTTGATGAGTATTTACTTTTTTTTTACTACTCGTATTATGCTGCAGTTCACCGTTATAATAGCATAAATTCACGTACAACGCTCCCCGCGCAACTAAATCACAAAATGGTGAATTATGTTTGTCAACACATAATAGTGTTGACAAGGTCACGCGTCTATGCGACTATTTGTCTATTGTCTTATTATTACGATTTCTGTGGTCAAAATAGTCCTTGGTGTCTTTACTTTCATATAGTAAAACCATTTCAGCAAACATCGTAGTGGATAAGAAGCAACATTATAAACACATTGAAGAAATCAATTACCACTGAATACCGATCTAATTTCATCAAGATCTTATCTCAAAAGTACTTTTTGCGCAATGGTTCCCCTTCGCACACTACGTCGTACTGAGATTTTACGTACTAAAGTAGCAGTTCCTAATCTCGGGTTGCGACACATATCCGGGTCGCTATAGATATGCATGAAGGCTCTGAAAAAGCGAGAGAGTCCTTAATTTATTAATATCTTACTAACCGGAGTCAATGAACCTATTTAAACTTCCATTACGTTTGTAAATCCAAACTAAACCTATTTGTAATAAAGTTGAATTAAACAGGAGATGGGTTGGATGGCTGTTGTCTATTCGCCTGCTAAGCGTGACATTTAAGGCTACTATCTCCCTTATGAGTTAATCTAAGCGAGAGGCCTATGTTGATCAAAGGAATTTTGATAGGCGGTAATAATGATATGGGGAGGGCTATGCTCGGGGTTCCTCTGCATGATAAGTTTTGAAATGAGATATACGCAGTAGAATCAGAGTGACCAACATAGCCCAACGGATTAGTAGGCTGAAGTGGCAATGGGCCGGCCATATAGCTCGAAGAACCGACAGCCGATGTAGAAGAAAGGTTCTCGAGTCATCTTCGTACCGATAGGCGTAGTGTAGGGCGACCCTCCACTAGATGGAGTGACGACCTGGTAAGACATGCAGGAAGTCGATGAATGCAAGTGGCTCACGACCGTGCTTTGTGGCATTCCTTAGTGCTTATATTCAGCAGTGGACTTGTACTTGAAGGGCTGTAATGATGATGATGATGATGATGAATGATGATATTGATGATGTAGGTTTTGGAACGCAATCTGAATAAATTGGTTTAGGATCGCGAGGTAAGGGACTATATTTAAGTAAGGGATTATGGATGTTATGTATAGGATGTTAAGGATGTTAAAAGTTATTGATGTATCACTTTTAATATTAACATGCATAATATACTAAATTATGAAAAATAATATACGAAAGCAATGAGTAAGGGCGAAGTAATTCTATATTTTGATTATTTTTTAATTTTTTTCAGCGGAAATAAGAATGCCGAGCGGACATATTGACCAGCCCGTGATCGAGGACAACAGGGACGGTACTGTCAGCATCAAATATGATCCCCGCGAGGAGGGAGTGCACGAGCTCTACGTCAAGTACAACGGGGAGCATGTCCAGGGTAAGTAACGACACGTTTAACAAACACGTGTGTTGGCGCAAAAACAAATTGGATCGCAGCACCACTGAATCGTTTCTTGTAAACAATCTTAAAACCCGTCGATTACAATAAAATTGATTTGATTTGATTGCAATACTTTAACATAACATCACAACAACAGTTTTTTTAAGCCTATAACGAAACACAGAACTTTACGAAAGTTCCAAACTTGTCGGTTAGTGCCTAGGGCAGGAGTGGCGAACCTTTATGTATCTACGTGCCAGTTTTCTAAAGAAATGTTTAATTAGGTAATAGACGTTTCGTAAAATAATTTTGACTTTGACTCAAAACTTTTTATTTACAACAAAAAATAAATGAAGACTTTTGAGTTGAGATATTTATTATTATACATTGCAAAATACCACAAAGTAACATTAGTGTGACTTCTGTTGTTGCAGATTAGATGAAAAATAACTTATAATGGGGTTGTAAAATCCTAAATATAACACAAATGAATTTTTAAATACATCTGTGACAACGAAATTGACTATAATGCTATGCGTAAATTAACTATGCATTCCTTGGGGGAGGTGTGTACTTGTGAAGGGCTGCAATGATGATGATGATGATGATGAAACGAACTATGCGTCATTAGCAATGGTGGACCACGGTGTAACTAGAATCACTCGCGTTCGTTCGTAATATAATAATACATCATAGTGAACTTTGTGATCGGTGGCGTGCCCAACATATTGTGTCGCGTGCTATCGATGGCACGCTTGCCATTGGTTCGCCACCCCTGCCATAGGGTGTCATCACGCGCAGTTTCCACGTGCAATGACTTTTTATATCAGGGCGGCGCCAATTAGAAATGAAGTGAAATATTTGACAGATTTCGTAGCGGTGAAAGTAATTTGTTAGAAAAGTGTAGATATTATTATTAAGTTCTGAAATATTAGTTATACTTTATAGAATGAATTAGATAAGAAATTGATATATCAAACTACGGATATTCCTACAAGTAAAAGAATTGAAAAAAAGTAAAAAAATGTGTAAAAAATTTATGATTACATCATTGATGCATTGTTTTGTGTATATACGTAGTAGAGCCATGCTGGAGTTATATTAGTAGTAGGTACCGTTGTAGGACGAATGGGTCGGCTCGACCGGGAAAGAACTACGCTCTCACAGAATACCAGCGTAAAATAGTAGCTTAATGCTGCTGTGTTTCTTATGGTGACTGTAACGAGGACTGTATGGTGTGGAAACGAGGCATTCTGAGTCGTCACGGGTGACAACGCATCTGCATTCATGGACTTTGGACATGGACAATAGATCTTTTTGTTTGCCCTATGATTGTGAATGTGGTCTCATCATACATAGGGCAAACAAAAATATCTATTAAAACCCGCGTAAAAGAACATATAGCTGACGTGAGGCATCAACGTTCCGGGAAGTCTAAAGTTTGTGATCGTATCCTAAGCGGCCCTAACCATTACATCAGATTTGATAGACCACAAATCCTCGCGAAAGAACATCGATTCCTACCAGGATGACGCGTGAGGCTATTAAAATTAAAAAAAAAACATCCTAATTTCAATAGAGAAGGAGGCTGGGTACTACCACAAACTGAACCCAAGCATACCAGTGGTATGCTTGGGTTTAGTTTTAATTTTATTAATTACATAGTCCCAAACCCTATTATTAATAAAATTAAAACTAATTCCAAGCACACCACTGCAAGATTCCAAGACAGAGTAATTTCATTCTGCATAGATCAGAACATAACCAATAATTAAAAAGCTGAAGGTACTCCGGGTTAACTTTGACATCGGGACGTCAGTCACCTCAGTCCCCCGTGACCATGGGTGCTGGAAAGTAACCGAAACGTCAGGAATCAAAAAATCAATTAAAATTAAACCGCGGTAAAATGCGTAAAAGTAGTTTTAATCACAAATTTTTTGTTTATGTTACCTATCGAACTCGATTTTAATATTATTTGCCTAGTCTAAATAAATTTAATGAAACTAATTTTACGGATTTTATCGCGTTTAATTTAACTTATTTAACTTTTAATTATATAATAATAATTTAAATTTAACGCGATTGTAGCATATTATGTCGGTAGATAATAATAATGGTTTTTACGGTTACCCTGTATTGAGTGATTATATGGACGTTTACGGCTTCGGTGTGTTTAAATTAACCTTCCCGTGTTCCTTGAATAGCAAGAATATTACAGCGATAGAATCCGTAAATTTAGTTTTAATCAATCTCGAGTATTCTTGTAAATATAAGAAACATTAGGTAAGTTTATTAGATATACAACAAAAACAATTATATTTGTATGGCCAACAAATAATTGTTTCGGGTGTTGATGTTTGTCCTTGTACAATTTAAGTTTCTTAATTGGCTCTATGATACAGATGAAAATCCTACTGTGGGAGACGTTTAAAAAAAAAAGAAAGGGTGTTCTATAACCGTTAAAAATCACAATCACGAATTTATTGTTTTTTTATGTTTAATTTGCAATAATTCGGTGAAATATAACATAATATTATATAATAAGATAAATTTAAGTTATATTTAATACGATTTCTACATTTCTACCCCAGGCTCACCGTATAAGTTCCACGTGGACTCCATCGCATCGGGTTACGTGACGGCTTATGGCCCAGGACTGATAAGTGGCGTCAGCGGCGAACCCAGCCAATTTACCATCAGCACTAAGGGCGCTGGCTCTGGTGGTCTGACAATGGCAGTCGAAGGTCCCAGTAAAGCAGAGGTAATAATTTTTTAGATAATCTTCTCGCTTATAATATCGTCGTAATAGGCGACAGGAATAAACTACAGTAGTAAGCTGCTGCAGACAGCTATCTACCTAATAACAATAATAAACTGCAGTTGTGTCAACTCGCATGATAAGCGTGGCAACTGGCAACCATGGCAAATATCTCCTTCCCCCTCCCCCATGATGTAATCTGTCTTAATTATTTTATCTATAGTGTATATATATATATATATATATATATATATATATATATATATATATATATATATATATATATATTATCTCTGGTCTAAGTTCATCAGTGGATTTTTAATAAACTGTACCTAACGGAAATTATTTATCCATATTTGATTGCAAAAAAATTCGTTGTTCGAAAATTGAAACAGAATGTTCGACGACTTCAATTTTCAAACTAAATATATTTCAATTTTCAAACAAAATATGCGATGAATCATCATATGAATGCAGAAAAAGAAAATATGAGAAACCGTAGTGACAGTACGTAATTTTCGTATAAATCGTCTTTGTTTATTACACAAATACTTACGTTCTTAATGCCCCTATGAATGGAAAGAAAAACATACAACAGTAAACCTTAAGTTAACTAAGTTACTTATTAACGATGCAAAATAATGTGATACATTACTTCCATATAAATTGATCCATCTATTACAGCTTATTCATACAATCATGAAATTAAGTGAAGTATTTTTTTAAAACGTCATAACATATAATATATTCCCTATTTCTTAATACTTTTAAATGTTAGTTACAACACTTAGATTCTCTTTGAGGCTTTTATTTGTGTGATATACAAAGACGTGGAGGACGTGGTGGACATGAAGGAATCGAACCAGCGATCATCTGCAACTAAGCGCTTAGCCCCTGTGCTATCGAGTATTAAGAAAATCTCATCTAATTCAAGAATAATGCATATTGCAAGCGGTGAATGTTCTATGAGAAACTTAAGCGTTAGGCGTTAGCTACGCTTAGGCCCTCTATCGTCTCCCAAGCTTGTTAAGTCTATGAACGAATTACTACAAGTAGCCAACACTCGATTTGAAGCTAGTATACGCAATTAACGCTAGATGGCGTTGTATGCTTCCACAATAAATGGAGATATAATTTAAATTGTAACAATCTTTATCTTTATCTCTCTAAAGATGCGACAATTATTGTTTTTTATTACTGCAATTCTAAAGAAGTATTACACTCAATTATTATTTTATTTTCCAAAAACCTCTTAAAAAGGATATCTGTAGTAAAAATAAGGTGATGAGCATCGCCCAACAGATAAGTAAGCTGAAGTGGCAATGGGCCGGCCATATAGATCGAAGAACCAACAGCTGATATGTAAGAAAGGTTCTCGAGTGGCAGCCTCGTACCTGTAAGTGAATGGTAGGCTGGCCCTCTCAATATGTAGTGATAACCTGGTAAGAGATGCAGGAAATCGATGAATATAAGGGAAACCGTGCTTTGTGGCGTTCCTTGTGGGAGACCTTTTTTCAACAGTGGACTTTTGAGGGGTTTTAATGGATGATGCAATGTCTTAAATTGTAACAATAAGTTTGTATGAACTTCGTAAAATATTCCAGATAACTTGCCACGACAACAAAGATGGAACAGTTTCGGTGTCCTACCTGCCAACTGCTCCTGGCGAGTACAAGGTCTCTGTCAGGTTCGGAGACAGACATATCAAGGGATCACCATTTACAGCGAAGGTAACAAAATCTTTACCTTAATTAATATTTAATTATTATCATTATTAATTAACGTAGACCCTAATACAATAAACTGCACGTGACTATTAGTCAAAAATACAATTTAGCTAAATTAGCATCAATCATCCTGAGCAATTTGAAATTATTCGAAATTATATAAAGGTTCTGCAAAATATTTCCTTACTTTAGGTGACTGGTGAGGGTCGCAAGAGGAACCAAATCTCCGTAGGCAGTTGCAGCGAGGTCACTTTGCCGGGCAAGATCAGCGACAACGATATCCGCAGTCTCAACGCTTCTATCCAGGTATTCAAGTTTACTGATTACGAGAACTAAAAATACTAGCGGTTAGCCACAGCAGGATCTACTTCATCTGAAGATACCTCGTGTAGAGGCGAAACACGTGTCGTATTATCGACGATGGTGTGTTTTTTCCTACTGTAGTGGTTTTGTGATCTTTACTTCAAAGCTTAACACAAAAAATTTATTTAATGGTTGAAGAAAGTTTTGACATTAGAGTATTATAGCTGAATGCTAAGAAACATAACATAAACACTCACGCCTGTCATCCAGAGGGGTAGGCAGAGACTACAACTTCCATTTAGCCCGACCCTGAGATACCTCTCTCGCCTCTTCCATACATGCTCGTCGGTTAAGGGTACTCTTAATTTGGCCCATTTTTAGTATATCACCAATTTGGTCGACAAACTTCCGCCTAGGACGTCCCTTTCCGACTCTTCCATTCACTTCTGCAACATATATTTGCTTTGTCAGTCTTTCTGCATTCATTCTTTCTACATGACCAAACCACCAAAGCATTCCTTTCTTAATCCTGGTCACTGCATCATCTTGAAAACCAACACTCTTCTTTTATCACACTGTTTCTCACCCTGTCACTCAGGTTCAGCCCTAACATACTCCTTAGCGACCGCATTTCTACAGCATTTATTCTACTCTCGTGCTTCTTCTGCCACACCCAACTTTCACTACCATACGTTAAAGTATGGACTAATACAGCATTGTGAATTGCCTTACGTGCCTTTTTTGACAGATTCTGACTTTTCACAATAGAGTGTAGAGCCCCATTTACTTTATTTCCTGCATTCACTCGTCGTTCAATATCCTTATCATATCTCCCATCCCTGCAGAATACACATCCCAAATATACGAACTCATCCACTTGCTCAATTAACTCTCCTTCTATTCTTATTTCACATACCATTTTGCTTTCTTCTCTTTCAAAACTATCACTTTCGTCTTACTTGCGTCCACTTTCATTGCCCTTTCTTTTAATGACCTGTTCATTAATGTAACCATCATTTGCAACTCGGCCGCCGACGACGCAAGTATGACTTGATCATCAGCGTACAAAAGGCATTTGATGGTTAACTCACCCATTCTTAACCCGCATTCTTCAACTTTTAAATTTTCCAAACAACTGTCATAAATAGGTTAACAGCCACGGGAAGACACACAGCCCTGTCTGACACCTTTATGGATGCTAAACCAGTCCGAGTAGACTCCGTTGATTCTAACACAGGCACTCGAGTCCCTATACAGAGACTTTAATGCCTGTATTAAACCAGCGCTCAACGTTTGCCATAACACATCCCTGTCCACTCTGTCATAAGCCTTTTCCAAGTCCATGAACGCACAAAAACCTTTTTGATTTTTCGCCAAAAACTTCTCCGCGATCATGCGCATGGAAAAGACTTGATCTGTACACCCCATTCCCTCTCTAAATCCCGCTTGCGCATCCCAAATTTTTTCATCAGTTTCTTTCATAACTCTTTCAATTAGTACCTTAGCATACAGTTTTCCCACAATGCTAAGAAGGCTGATACCACGGTAGTTTTTACAGTCCTGCTGTGACCCTTTTCCCTTATATATTGGGACTATCACGGCTTTGCACCAGTCTCCCGGTACCCGCTTTAGTTCCCAACATAAATTAAACAAGGTGTACAGCAGGCCTGCCACTACGTCCTCTCCAGCCCTTAGCATTACGAGTGAAACTCTATCATATCCGGCTACCTTACCAACTTTCATGCTTTTCATTGCTTTCATTATTTCATCTATACTTATCTCCCTATCTCTTTCATCTTCTTTCGGAATTTCATTTAGTTCACACGTCTCCTCACTCATAAATACGCTTTCAAAATATTCCTTCCATCTCTTTAGACTCAGCTAGTAAATCTAGCCATGCTCTCTTCTTTGCTTCAACTTCCATACGTACCTCAACATCCCACCATAACGTATTGTCTTTCCTTTCATTCGTTCTCTTACTAACACTACATACTTCGGTAGCTGCATCCACTAAACCTTAACATTATGCCACACATTCTCCAAGTCTAACTTATTCACACACAACTCAACCAAATCACTTATATTTTCTCTCAGTCTACATTTGTACTTGTCTTTCACATCTTCATCTTGTAACCCCTCAATTCTTATACGCTGTTACGCAATGTTAGACACAGATGTCCGATGCCGCCAACGTCTGAATAAACCCCTAATTCGGCATAAGACCAGGTAGTGGTCCGTCTCTACGTTGGACCCCCGGTAAACGCTTGTATCCACCACTGCGCTCCTCATTCTTTCATCCACAGTTATGAAATCTATCATGCTTCTATCATCACCTCTTTCCCAAGTATACATGTGAATCTTCTTATGACGAAAGAAAGTGTTCGTCACAAAAAGATTCCTTTCCACACATACGGTGAGGACGCTTTCACCATTCTCATTAATACTTTCACCACCAAACGTTCCCAGTATCTTTTCATAGCCAAGCCTCCACACCCCAACCCTTCCATTAAAATCTCCTAACATAACAATATTTTCATTTTCCTTACATTTCATTAACGCCATCCTTACCATCTCCCAAAACTGCTCTCGGATATAAGTGGGCTTAGACATGTCTGGGGCGTAGACCCCTAGAATAAACAACTTCTTTAGGCCCACTTTTATTTGTATCCATAGCAGTCTCGGGCTTACACATTCATACTCTTTCACACATTGACCCATTCTTTCTAAAAGGATGATACCGACTCCCTGGCATGCTTGCTCGGTCTCGTCTACACCGAACCAGTACGCGGTATATTCGCCACGTGTAGTGACATCCTTTCCCTTCCGCTTCGTCTCATTTACACATAACACATCTATTCCTCTATCATACATCATATCGCATACTTCATCCATCTTATCATTCATTGCTCCACATACATTCAGCGTACCTAGACAGGCCTCCGCAATCCTCTTTTCGCCCCTCCGGGAGACAGAACGTGATGGGTGGCGAACCTCGTTGCCGGTTTTCCTCACGAAGATTCTTCGCACCCCTGCCCCATTAAAGGGGCGCCGGGAACTCGGGGCCATTTCTTTTCCTCTTTGCCTCATGGTGCGAAAATAAGGGCGTGGTATATTTTACGCCGTTACCACACGGCGAGTAGCCGAGTCTGTTCTTTCGGCTTTGTCGCTCTTTTAGCACCACCCGGGGGAAACGTGTAGGGTGGGCCTAGGATTAGGTGGTCGAAGCCTACGGACGCGAGCGACTTATCCCCCCGAATACGAATGCTAAGAAGAGCTGATTAATTATGGGCCTATACAAAACTCTTGTTGATTTTTGTCGCCAGCTCTTGGACTATTAGCACGTCAAACACCTCAGCTCCCTCGTGACCTTAGGTGTTGTAAACCTTTTGAAACGTAGAAAAATAAGCGCGATATAATCCGTGAAATTAGGTATATTCAAGCATACAGCTATTGGTTTTCGTTCTTCATACTTATGAAACTAACCGAAATAGCTTTAATCTTCTCAGTCAATTGTAGAAATTTGAAAAGAGTAATAGAGCATACTTATTAGGCTCTTTCATTAATTTTTATAAAATAGACAGAGTGGAAGAACTAATTCACTTATCTTTAAGGCACCCTCTGGCCTTGAAGAACCCTGCTTCCTCAAGAGGCTGCCTTCTGGCAACATCGGCATAAGTTTCACTCCCCGTGAAGTTGGGCAGCATGTTGTCTCAGTCAAGAAGATGGGAGTTCACATTAAAAACTCCCCGTTCAACATTCTTGTGCTGGAGCAGGAAGTCGGTGACGCTAAGAAAGTTAAGGTAAGTGAAATTATATTAAAGTTAAAACTTCACTAACAAAAGTCGGAAGAAGATTCTGTGAAGATTTCAAGTTATGCGTATTTCCTATATATAGGTTTCGGTCTCAGTAACGATCCGTTTCATTACATACGAAGTGTATATAAAAATATTTTATATTACAAACTATTATTTCAGCAATATAGAATTAATTAGGTAGTATAGGATACATTATAGGTATAGGACTTAGAATGAAATAACTTAACTAAACTGCTTATAAATAACACAGCTGGTATTTTGTTTAAAAACAGCTAATAAACGGAAACGAATCGTTTTTAAATATAGACAGCATTAATCACAGTTCGTAAAAAGTCCATACTCAGAAGCTTATTGTTTTATAAGGTCTGCAATCGAGCATACATTCATTACATCTGATGGTAGGTAGATGCTGTGGCTCATCGACACTTGTTATAATAATAATGTTCTCCAGATCGGATTCTACTCCAGTCAGGGCGGTTATTCTCTACGAAGATTATCCATCTGCACAGTACACACATGATTGGTGCTGTGTGAGCAAACACATGACAGGTGCACTTTCTATTCCCTCACTCTCATAATCCGATGGAACGGCAATCCGAGATCAAGCGTAGTACTCTAACGACTTTACGTACTTTCCGAGGCACGGACACCAACATTTCCAATAACACCCTGACTCCGGGGTGCCACTGAGAATTTCATGATAGAAAAACCGAATGATTTTAGCCAGCTGCGCTTACGATCACTGGACCAAAAAGAAGTAAAAGAAAAACTGTTATAATTTGCATGCGAAGTGAGATTTTACAACCTTCCACCGCTTACTTATCAAAGAATCTGTCAATCCATGCAAGGAAAAGTGCGCCTTGTAGCTCTGGTACGAGCGACAGACTTCACGTGATCCCGATTTTCATATATTTCTTAGTTACAATAATATACAAATATTGTACGAGGTAGAGCCGCGCTGCTGCTATATTATGGTTGTAGCACGAATAGATCGGCTCGACCGGGGAAGGACCACGCTCTCACAGATTACCAGCGTAAAATATCAGCTTAATATTGCCCTTTTTTACTGGAAACGTAGCATTCCATGTTAGTCCCCAGGAATGACAACGCATATTCATTTTGATTCTAAATCGAGGTTCAATGTATGATGATCTATGAGCCGCAGCATCAACTTTCCATCAGGATGACTATGTGCTCGTTTGTCACCCTTATTCTATTTAAAAAAAAACATATATAATATTGTGGTTAACAATATACGCGGTGAGCACTATAAATTTACAAGCAAGTTAGTATATACTGATCTCTATAAAAAAATCAGGACTTCAAAATTTGGATGCTTCGACATTCCATTATCACACACCATATAAAGAATTACAGCTTATAAAAGTCCATTGCCGAACACAGGCCTCCCCCATACATTGCCTCGCTAGGCTAGCAACCAGTTGTTCATTATTATGGGTTATTATCCTTTCATTTTGATTCAATGAAGGTAGTTAGTTTGATTTTTACAATTAAACATTATCAAGACTGATTTCATAGGCAAGCGCATTTCCAATCATCTTTAGCTTCAGCTTGTTATTATCATAGAAGAAAGATTAACACCTTTGACCTTACTGACTGTTTCCAGTCTAGCTTTTTACATCTGATATAAACAAGAAGGTTATCTTCTTTATTACACGTGATGACCACGCTGAAGCTATATTATGGTTATAGCAGGAATGGGTCGGCTAATCCGGGGAGGGACCACACACTCTCATAGAATGCCAGCGTAAAATAACAGCTTAAAACTACTGTGTTTCGTATGATGAGTGTAGAGAACCAGATATGTTTTTAAAGGAAACGCATTCTGCTGCCTATGTCCTGTTTCAGTTCCCCTCTGTCGCCTCTAACGACACCCACGGGACGATATGGGGTAGTGGATATTCGGATATTCTTATACTGCTTCCATATACTATACGAGTACTATACAATACTAAATAATACAGTACATACATAAATACTATATAATACATACATAATAGAACGGGGGAGTGGGCGGAGCCCGTGTAGACACTAACATTCACTAATACGTCAATTCACACGTATAAACGTCAACATAATCAACCATTTCCAATTTTCGTGTCAAGCGTCGCTGCATGCAAATTATTTACAAAATGGCAAATTGTGCAATAATTACGTGTCGAAAGTACAGCGGGAAATGGAATTTAAATAATATTGTACAACCAGTAAGTCGACACTATTTATATTTTGTGAATATTAGAAACCAAAATAAAGAAACATTAATCAAAAGTCTAAAATGTGTTTGTGGTAGTGATGAACTGATAATACGACGTAATTGCTTGTATGTGGGCTCCCGGTGACGCCAATCCTCCTACAAAGTAAAGTTGACAGCCATTCTATTGTATGTTATAGTATTCTATGGCTAGGTCATACATAGTATGAAATGATTTTATTATCATCCGTTCTTAATACGTCTGTAAAATTTACGATTATTCATTCATTTATTCGTCCGGGATTTCGTATTAACCAAAGAAAAATTCCATTTTATTCATAAATATATACAAACGGGTCAAGGATATAAGACCGCGTTCATAATATGTTAATATTTCAGGTGTCCGGCACAGGTTTGAAGGAAGGCAAAACTCATAGTGAAAACTCATTCAGCGTCGATACCAGGAATGCTGGTTATGGTGGTCTTTCGGTATCCATTGAAGGTAAATTATATCAATGAACAAAAATGTTATTTTTCTTTTAATAATGAACTTAACTAAAATAATAATTAAAATTATAATATATTTAGAAGGAAAGAAGAAAGAGTGGGGATACGATTAAAACTACATACAATATAAAAGAAGAAACTATAATATAGAAAATCTAAAACTAAAAATTTTAAAGTCAAAAAGACCTGCTCCCCGTGGTATAGTGCCAAGAACGCTGGCTGCGTTTCCTCGCTGAATAGCTATACTTAGCCTTTGAGCGAGAAAAGAACCAGCCGTCTTATCACTAGCAGCGACGACCAGTCGTGGATACAGTTCCTTTAGAAATTTCACTGCACACGGACCCCACGGACCGATAGTCTCTACAGCAAATGGCACAAATATGTAGTCATTTCTCAAAGACTCATATTTGCGCCATTTACTAAATTCGGCTGCCCCTGATGCCACCCCGGCTCTAAAAGAGGTACCCTTGCGATGAGAGGCCGCCAAAGAGTCAAGGCAAGTAGCATCCCACACTAGGGCTTTACCTCTCTCCCAAGGGACCAAAGTTATAACGTCGGGTCTCCTGCCATCGTCTCTAAATATCCTGCAAGGCTTTAAAACTGAGGGGACATTTATGAAGACAAAAGCCCTTTGGATGATTTCGTTCAAAGAACCGTGACGGGAAAACCTACCTGCACTTTTCTTGCATGAAAGTCCGTGGAGCCCAAACTCATCGACCACAGGGGCACTGGTGAGGTTGACAAATTGCCACTCCTAGCCTAATTCCTACGGCGATGCGCAAGCTTTCCCCATCAAGCAATGTGCCAAGATTACTTGATGGTAGAGCATGTAACCAGTGGCTAGATTCCTTAGTCGAAACAGCTAGAAGGCGAGCATGATCTTGTTGACTGTAGAAATTTTGAAATAAATTTTTCTGCACACTCCGTACCAACGGAATATCACACTGTTTTTGTTGGTTAACTTCCAGTGGGACATTTTTGCCGGGACAGAGCGTTAGCCATGTTTGCCTTGCCTCCGCAGCAAAGCACAGGTCTACTTTATTATTTAAAATTGTATTACATAGATCATTGACACTATGCACGGAAGCAAGGAAAGCAGGCAATGCGACGCTAGAAATATTTCTTACACCAATACCACCAAATTTGACAGGTAAAGTGGCTTGATTCCAGGCTATTGTATTTAATCTCAAATTTAAAAATTTTTCTAAAGCAATTTTAAGATTACTATCAATATCTTTTAAAATATCCGAACATTTCCAGACTGGACTTGAGCTTAACAAGTATGTAAATTTAGGTACAAGGAGGAGACAATATTTCAAAATGGTAAGGGCAATATGGGGGTTTAAAATATATAATTTATCAACGTGATTTAGAAATTGATCAAATTTTGTTTTAAAACAGGTTTAATACTATCGAAAAACAACAGAGCACCCAGCAGGTAAAGCGATTCCGAATTGACAGTTTTTATTCCTGGAGAAATCTGATTTAATTTTTGAATTAAGGTATCTCTGTTAGAATTAAATAAATTATTAGAAATAAATATTTCACATTTATTGGTATTTGATTCAAGACCAATATTTTTAAAATTTTGAAAAATATGAGTAAGATCATTAAGGACCTCATCTGCTTTACCTCCCAGTGTACCGTCGTCCAGATACCAGACATTCAGCTTGGATTTTAAATTTGAAATAATAGGTTGAATTCCCAAACTGAAAAGAGCTGGACCTAATGGATCACCCTGCTGAACACCGGCAGCAGACTCAATAATATGGTTTTGATAAAACAAGTTTGAATTTTGACTGTAACATTGCCAAACGTAATGATATATTTCGGGGTAAACGTTAGCCACTTCTTTCAGCAGGGTTATCCTATCAATAGAGTTAAAGCCATTTATAAGATCAACCTTCAGAAGAACATCTGCATTGGAATTAGTTAAGAAAGTACGCACCGAATGTACCGCTGCCTCACAGCCACCTTTGGTGCCAAAGCCTAGTTGAGTAGGTTGAAATTTTGTCATAAGGTTTGAGATTATGTGCCTGCAAGCTAATTTTGAAGTTAAGCGTCGAAATGTAGAACCAACAGCAATAGGACGGATACTGTTATCCTTAATTTTGAAGGCACACAATCTTGCCCCATATAAGTAGGGAATGAAATTGGGATTGACATTACCAGAAAGCATAAATTCTTTTTAAGCATGATATTATGTACAGTTACCGATACAGTCTATGAAATGTATCCTGTCCTGCGCCGATGGCTAGCCTCCGTTGGGGTAGGCCACCGTGGCCTGCCTCAACGGAGGCTACGGCAACGGAGGCTCAGTCGTGGCTGAGCATAGGCCTCTCCAAAAATTATCTCAATATTTAATAATGTCCTCTAGACTAAATTTCGGCCACGGCGGCCTGCTTCATCGGAGGCTAGCCATCGGCGCAGGACAGGATTATAGTGCCCAAGTGTATGCGCAAGCACAGATGCACTCTCTATTCCCTCACTCTCATAATCCGATGGGACGGTAAACTGACAAGACCGGAAAGAGATCAGGCGCAGGACCAACGGATTTACGTACTTTCCGAAGGGGGTGAAGACCACCTACCCCATTTCTTGACAGAAAAACTCAATAATTGATTTTTGGCCCACTCCACCCCTCGCACTACTACAACCACGGGACCAACGAGGCAGTCATCTCTCAATATTTATATCATATCACATTTCTCAATATTTACCATAGATGCCACGCATGGCAAGCGGGTTGGCAACCGCAGTTTTTTATTTTGTTTTGTAGCGACGCTGTCGTCGCGCCACTAGCACACCGAAACACACCGAAGCCTAAATCGCGCTATTAACATTCCGAATCATAGACAGTATATATAGAACATCTCCGAACTATCACACGGAGTGTTGGCCGCTCCCCGGGCAGAACACCTTGCCCGGCGGGAGATCTCCCCTTTTCCTTCCTCACCGGCCACAGTTTCATTCCGCCGTCTCTTACGATATCCAAGGGGGTAAGGTTATGGGAATACCCATGAGGTAGTGGATAGGAATATCCACACACTGCCACTAGACAGTATACGAATTAAATTAATTTTCTTCATAATATTTTATTAACTTTTTAATAAGACAACTAGCTTGACCTTAATCCAAGTCATGGTAACCTATTAAAGTATGCTGAATATAATTCTTAATTATACTATAGAAAATTTATAGCACAGAGATTCGTGATGTAGATAATATAATTTTTTTAAATATACTCCACGCTGCGCAGGCCTGGTTTTGTAAGTATATATTTTATTGTTGTTGCCTTTCAAACTTGATAAATTAAAAAAGAAATTATATTCACGATTTCTTTTTCTTTTTTGTTGAACGTTATAAGGGCTAACTTATGAAATATTAACAAGCCCTAAAATGGAATGTAATTTAATGTAATATATTATGTACAAATTGTGGTGACAGTCCTGATGGTACTGAAGATAACTTTCCGTTATTATCCGTTAAAATAGCCTATTTCTTTTTCGGGAGCAGTCAAAGGAAACATCCGAAAATTATAATTAAAATTCCCACCATTGCACTTATACCAAGAAAATGAAAAATACAACAACAGCTATATTATGAAAAAAAATTTAAAAGGCTCCAAGCAAAAATTCTTATATTAAGGAAAAAAAGTTGCTGGGTTGAAAAAAATCATCAAAATCTTGATGAAAAGATGTAAATATATAATGATAGAAAAAGAAGAACGTTGAACGAACGAAGCAAAACCATAGGATTATTTACACATTATTGTATACAATAATGGAATAATCTTACATACTGATCCTAGTGTTTTATTTTAACTGCGATAATATCGAAAGATCGCAAAAATGTACTCACGCTCATGGTAGATGGCGATATTTCAGCAAATCGTCATTCGGACATTCGATGAAATTTTTGTTTTGTTTATGAACGGTGTGCATTTTTGGATTTTTCAAACTGGCAACAAATATAGACATTAACTCCCTGATGGCATTAATATCAAATTAAAAAAGAAAACGAACACACAGCTTACGAAAAAAAATTATAATTTGTATCTAGCCAGTGGAAAGGTTTTGGCACAGCGTACTAATGCAGAGTTTACAGGCACAATTTTCTTATTTATGTTTTAAAATGAAAACTTCTTTAGAATCCTTGTGATTTACTAGGTGGTCTGTGCTCGTGAGCGAGGACTTACGAGCTATTGAGTGTAACGATTCTGTAGACTACAGTACAATGCGGTGTGCCCAAGTGTTCTGTACTAGTGTAATATCTGAATGTGTATAGAATGCAGTGTACAGTGTTCCCTATTATATATGGTAATTCATGCGATTCTGAGCATGAGTGATGTGACCAGTAAAGATCAAAGACGGAATTTGTTGAATAGGATATATTTAAGTACTTACGATGACGAAATTGAAAACTTGGAGTCTGTAATAAATACTGCTGCGACTTCTCAACGTAGGCCTCCCCCAAGGAATGCCACCAAGCACGGTCCTGAGCCACCTGCATCCATCGACTTCCTGCATCGCTTACCACGTCGCCACTCCATCAAGTGGGGGGCTGCCCTATATATAAACAAGTATCAGTGTGCCCATATTTAAAATAGACTGCTACGGTTTCGATGAGGGTAAAGATGTCGCTTTTAGAAAACATTCTTCCTATTTTATGTGATACTCGTAAACACATAAAATATTACACACTTATGTCTGAGAACAATATGTGTAATTCAATACATGTTCCTACTTTTTTTTATAGAACTAGGGTAACAAACGAGCACACAAACCACCTGATGGTAAGTGGATACTGTATCCATAGACATCTACGTTTATCCTTGATTAAGGATCAAAACGCAGATGCGTTGTCCATCCTGAGGAATTTGATGGAATCGTTTCCAGTAAAAAGGGTCTTCGGTTTTCTACACTCACCATACGAAACACAGCAGCATTGAGGTGCTATTTTACGCTGCTATTCTGTAAGAGCGTGGTCCTTCCGCGGTTAAGCTGGCCCATTCGTGCTACAACCATAACATAGCTGCAGTGTGGCTCTACCACATAAATCTTCTTACCATCTAAACTGATCATAGGACCCAGTAAAGCTGAGATCCAGTGCGCGGACAGCAAAGACGGCATACTCAGTATAATCTACAAGCCAACGGAGCCTGGTTACTACATCGTCAACCTGAAGTTCGCTGACCACCACGTCGAGGGCTCACCATTCACTGTTAAGGTGACAATATTTTTTAACCTTCCACAGAATATTCTATGAAATCAGGTGTTTTTATAGAAGTACGGGTGACGGAAGAGCAGAGTACACCTGATGAGAAGAGACGATCACACGTCATTGATGAAGAAAGAAAATGCAGATGCGTTGTTTCATCTGAGGACTAAGATGGAGTGCCTCGTTACCACTCAAAAGGGTCTCCGGTTCCCTTCACTTACCTTATCAAACACTACACTATACTACACTTCAGCAATATGCTGCTATTTTACGCTCGTATCTGGAAAGAGCGGCTTTCTCTGGTTGAACCCATCGGTTCCTGCTGCAATAATATGCTATTAGCTCTATCATCATCATCATGATCAGCCTACGGCAGTCGACTACTGGACATAGACCTCTCCCAAGGCGCGCCACTTAGCCCGATCTTCGGCTACACGCATCCAGTTTCTTTTATGCCTCACCGTTGCCATGACCGCCATCATGGTGACCGGGAACTGGAGGCCGTGTTTTTGTGGTGATTTGCATAGAAGGATTTGCCCTTAATCGCCACGATGGGCAAGCGGGTTGGCAATCGCAGTGTCAGACACATTATACATGTAACGCAGCAGCCTGTCACAGGCCTGAACATTTTGATCTGACGAAGACTGGGATGGTTATGTCGCCATCCATCAGAAGCCTAAAGGTCTCCTTTTTTTATAAAGCATTTCCCTCTGTCGACATTCACGGGATGAAAGGGAGTGATAGTATTCTAGGCCGCTGCCACACTTTATTTTTTATTAGCTCTATCACAGCGGTTAAAACATCTTGTACAATACATAGGAACGGCCCATATAAATATACATACTTTACACACGGTCCAGGCCTCCTTTGATTTCTGATGGTTTTCGAGAATTCGCCGTGCTGCCACATGCAGGTTTCCTCACGGTGTTTTCCTTTACCGCTAACTAATAAAGACTAATAGTTACTAAATATTTAAAAAAAGGCATTTCACATTCACATATTTCACAGGTATTCAAATATTGATGTAATGATTTTGTACCAGGTGACTGGTGAAGGTAGCAACAGACAGAGAGAGAAGATCCAAAGGCATCGTGACTCTGCACCTCTCACCGAGGTCGGAACGAACTGCAAGCTCACCTTCAAGATGCCTGGTAACTATGACCATTTCTCAACTTTCTCCACATCTTCTTACTAAGTATTCCATGTATTGAAACAAAGTGACTGCTACAGTAATTTCTATTCCAAACCATCCCTGTCAGCACAGACCACCTAGCCTATTAGGCTAGTAGGCTAGGTGGATCTAGCCTACTAGGCTAGTAGGCTAGGTGGTCTGTGCCTGTCAGTCATTAGGGTAACGTTATTCTCTTCTTATAATCCGGGCTTATTTTCTTCACGCCAAGGACACAATGAGGTAACAAATGAAAATGTAGTGCACTTTGACGGCTTCATGGCGTAGCGACGGTACGGTTCGCGGGTTCGGATCCCGTACGGAACAAGTATTTGTAAATTTTACAAATAATTGTTTGATGTCTGGATGTTTGTCCGTGAGCAATTTATCTATGTAAACCTTCCACGATATAGGAGAAAATCCTACAGAGTAACGTTTTTTAAGACAAATATGATCACTAATTATCCTAATGCAAAATATCCGCTCACGCGGTAAACTTGGTGATAGGTTTGAATGCAATGTGCAAGACTCAAAGATAATTAATTCGCAGTTCATTCACAAAATTAATGAATTTTTTTTAAAATATCCAACAAACAATCGAATTGTAAGATCTTTAACTCATTAGAATACTCATAACCTAGGTATCTCATCATCATCACACGGGTTGGCAACCGCAGTTTTTTTATAATTTTGAATTGTTATCAGGAAGATGCTGCTCATTTTCTCCTTTTTCATTTTCTTCTTTCGCCTTTTACGACACCCACGAGATGATTTGGGTAAGTGGACTGTTGAAGCAAGGGTCATAGAAGAGTACAGTCTACCTGATGGTAAATAAATGCTGAAGCCAAAGGAACCTCATTTTTAACCTTATATATTTGTAATTTACGTCGATAGTCAACGAGTAGCTGTAGTATAAAGTCAAGGATTTCCTAGGACTAGGATTAATCCTAAGTACTTGCCTTGTGATTAAAATTTTGTCTTTGCTAAATAAAACATCTTCTCCCAGGTATCACGTCGTTCGACCTTGCGGCCACTGTCACCAGTCCCGGCGGAGTTTCCGAGGACGCAGAGGTACAAGAAGTGGAGGACGGCCTGTACGCCGTACACTTTGTGCCTAAGGAGTTGGGCGTGCACACCGTGTCCGTTAAATACAGGGAGATCCACATTCCTGGTAAGTGTAATTTTATTACTAGTAATATTTTATTAGAACGTAAACAGCCTATATATGACCCACCGGGTAAAAGCCTAGTCTCATTTCCGAGTTGGTTTAAGGCAAGAAAACGTGGGCCGTGCTGCCCAAATGCGAGTTGGCGGACATTGTTCATGTCTGAAATATTTTTTATAAATTTATCAGACATGCAGGTTTCTTCAGGATGTTTTCCTTCACCGATGAGCATGTGCTGAATGAGCTCTTAGAATTACAAATAAATAATTTAAATTGTGCCGGTGAAAATCGAACGCGGGTTGCTCGCGTTCTGTGAAATTTACTCAGCTAGCTAGCACTCTAGCACTTAGCTCCGAGGACTTTTCTGAACTTATGGTATTTAGAAGTAACAGGTGATAAAATTAAAAAAGTTGTATAACCTACTTTAATATAAATTAAATGAAAACATCATCAATGTATTCGAAGTTATCAATCGTAGCTTTTCATTTTTTAAGTTAACCATCTCTTGTTTCAGTTTATTTTTTATAGAATAAATGTGACAAACGTGCGCACAGTCCACCTGATGGTAAGTGGATGCTGTGGCCCGTAGACATCTACATTAACCCTCGATAAGGAATCATAACGCAGATGCGTTGTCACCCCTGAGGACTAAGATGAAATGCCTCGTTTCCAGTAAAAAGGTCTCCGGATCTCTACACTCACTAAACGAAATAAATCAGTATTAAGCTGCTATTTTACGATGGTATTCTGTGAGAGCATGATCCTTTCCCGGTCCATCCATTTCTCTACAACCATAATATACCCGCAGCGTAGCTCTACCACGTATAAATATTTCCCTTTGTCGTCCCTTACAATACCCACGGTACGGTATGGGGTAGTGGATATTCATACACCGCCACTATTACGTCACTACAAGTTAACCTTTAATTTTAGAAAATATCTTCATGTGTCTCATCGTATAATTTTTCCTCTAGGATCACCCTTCCAATTCACCGTTGGTCCTCTCCGCGACTCTGGAGCCCACTTGGTCAAGGCTGGTGGAGCAGGCTTGGAAAGAGGAGAGGCTGGACGCGTCAACGAGTTCAACGTTTGGACTCGCGAAGCCGGTGCTGGCCAACTCGCTATCTCCTTGGAGGGGCCCAGCAAGGCCGAGATCGACTTCAAAGATAGGAAGGACGGATCTTGTGATGTATCTTACAAAGTGGACGAGCCTGGTGAGTGATTTTTGATTTTTTTTGTTATTAGAATATTAAATAATGGTGATGAGTTTACGTGTATAAATGATTGATTGAAGATAATATGGTTACATTACCAATCTATCTAAGATCTTTCTGGAATTTTCTATAGTCTCCTCTTAACACATCTACGGGATGAAATGGGATGATACGGAAAAAGGGTTATTAGGAAGACATCATCTATTTTTTTAAAACGCCGGTGTTTGTATAAGTAATATGTCGTAGGATTATTCGGGAAATCGAAAATTTTGCAAAGGACCAGATACTTTGGAATCTTACACAAATATACCTAGATTTTTATATAAATGTTCGCGGCTTTTACCGGCCGTCGTGGCCGTCGAGGGAAGAAGACCAGCCCTGCCCATCTTTAACCCGGCTGCCAGTCGGCTACACCTTGATTTGGCCATGAATACCTAATACACCTACTTAAGGTTCTTTACTTTACTTTTAGCCATGAAAATAACAATACACCTAGTTGCTTAAAGTTAGGTGGGTATATTCGATTTATTAATTCCTAAAACTAAGTTAATCTTTTATTTGTGGCTAAACGTAGTCTGATTAGATCACTGCTCCATGGATTTTACTCACTCCTTTGGGGATTACAGGTATGACGCTATGTAAATCTATGTGTAGCCGGTTATCAGTAGATTAATGAGTACAGCATCCCTCTACTTTCTAACATTACGTCATATTGTTATCTAAAAAAAAGTTTATATGAGACCTGTGACTACCTCAAACTACCAGAAGCTAAAAATGATTATGAAAGTCTAATCGAACAAATCGACGAACATATCTTGCTTTTTATCATAATACTAGCTGACATCCTATAAAAAATGCTTAAATTCGTAATAAAAATACTGAGGATCACTTATCGGGTTAAAAGCTGTCCTATCTCTCAAGTTGGACCAAACTGCACATAGTGTGCAAAATTTCATTGAAATTAGTTCAGTAGTTTAGGAATTCATCGCGGACACACAATGTGACACGTAATTTTTATATACAAAGATAAATATGACTGATTAATGAAAATATAATGCGACTGAACATTGCCTGTACACAGTCCGATGAAGCTGTAAAGTCAGATGAAGCTGTAATTCAGTTGAAGCTGCAAAAACCGCATAGGCTAACAGCACAAACATCTCGAAAATAGATTGCCTGTACACAGTCATCAATTCTAAAAACCCACGCCCAATAGATCCATAGTGAGTAACACAAAAACATAAATAAAAAACGTGTATTCTCGCATTGGTCTATGTTTCCCATAAACACACGAGCACCCTTAATGGTTTAAGTAGCTGTTTGAATATTTAGTCAAATAAACTAAATTGGATCAATGATCAAAGGGCCACAATTATTAGAAAAAAAACGAAGTTAAAAAATTATAAGTACTTAGCTCAGTGTTTTAGAAGAACGTTTTCGATTGTATGAATCAATTGCCGAAGTCGAAATTTTATATCAATTGTATATTTACAATGGTAACACCGAAATAATAAATATACGGTACCATAATAGAAAAAAAATATGAATAGCTTAGTATATGTCACGACCATTTTGAAAATGTAACGTCATTGCAACTCTTTCAAGCACTATAGAAAAATATACACTAACACATTCACTCACATGTGACAACTTATCATGATACATATCAACTGTTCCCGCTGCGCCTATCCATACACGTTTGTTGTTGGTACAGTTGGTTCAACATACATGCAGAATAAAATGCACTTCATAAATAAATCAACTTGTCCCTCACTCGACCACGCCTACCCTCCCAGCCGTCCAATAGCGGCCGCCTTCATAGCAGCGGCAGCAAAATTTACTGCGAACCATTTTGACAGTTCGATTTTTTAAATTTGTTTTCGTTTTTTTTTCTTCCGCAAATGACCAGTGAGTCTCGTGTTCTTTTTATTTTTTTTAAGTGATAATGGCTGTCGCGATTTCGTCTTGCCGACGCGACGACCACTGGAATTTACGATATCCTTTTGTATGAAATACGTTTGTGACATTCCTTTAATAAAATCAATTCAAACAATTATATGTATATAACTTGCGATTGTATGAAAATATTATAATCTGTCAAGTAAAAAAGAAGAAAACAAAATACTCGAAATATAAATTGCAATAAAAAGTACTGTGGTATAGCGGATTGTAACGTATGATTTTATACTTTCGTAGTCCGTACATGTCACCTTCCAACATAATACAAAACATTATTTATAAAATTTGAGTGACAAGCTTAATTACAGTCCACTTGATGGTAAGTGGCTACTGTCCATGGACACCTGCAATGCAACCAACTTCAAACAAAGATATAATATTTATGGGTATATATATTTGTTCAATGGTGGAGTTAAGTCTTCAAGTGCATTTTAATCTACAATATTATGGAAATAGGGCAATAATTACACATTAAATCAACCGGTACAAACAAACAAACGAAATCTATTTGATGGATAGAGGGTTTTGCTGTAGATATATAAATATATAAAATAGGATGTTTGTATATATTAAATCGTAACTCAAAAGAATACCTATTTTACAATGGAGAAGTTTTATACCGTATATAATATTTTAATACTAACATACAAACTATAATGTGTGCAAAATGTATAATATTAGAGCTATTTTAAAATATTTAGCATAATTATAACGCAATTTGAAACAATTAACTTGCGCGTCAGCTGCCCTTAATCGCTATTTGAGTCGTTAGGGGGTCCACATTTGATTTGCAAATGTGTTATTTGCATTCCAGTTTGTTGCTGTCATACTGCTGTAATTACGTCTTACACTTTTCTATCGCCATCTTGAAACCATTTATGGGTTGACTATTGGATGCGTACTTTATTAAAGCTTTTGCATGCTGATCGCCTAGCAGCCAAACGGCTTTTCATAGGAGATAGTTGTGAGCAGTATGTCGGAATGTGAAGATCTTCCCGATAGGGAACCGAACAACATTGAAAGTTTTTTTTGTTGAAACTGTAATTTGTATGCGTATTTGTGACGCAAAAGGCTCTTTTAGCTGAGTGTAAGTTTTTATATCTTTTTAATTTATTTATTTATCATTTCAAAGTTGAATACAAAAAAATAAGTAAAATAGCACCCATAAACCAGAAAAGTTTGTAAATGTATGTTAGGTACGATATCTTCGTTAATTTTGGGCTGGATTTGTAGTCTATTTAATAGAACAAAACAACAAATAAAGCCGTTTAGCCGCTTCCGAGAAATGGGTGAACATACATCTTCGTAAAAAATATACGCATCGAATATAGAACCTCCCTCTTTTTTAAACTCAGTTGAAAATGCCTCGAAGTTTCATGGGAAAAATCTTAGAGATTTCATCGGAGAATTCATGGGAAAATCTTGTTAAAAAAGAACCAAAGGGACCATGGACCATGTCCAGAAGCAGACTTATGATTTTGAAAAGTTTATAGGTTGGCAGCGTATCTTACACTTCATCATTACTTAATAATAATATACGGCAAAACTGGAATAATTTTAGAAAACCCTTTTTTTAGTACCTGTTAAAATTCAATCTAGAAATTCTTTCTACGATTACACAGAGTAATTAAACGCACAAATTATTTTGTCTGTGCTAGCGGCTAGCATTTAACATAGAACAAAACAAAATAAAACTGAAATTCGTATTTAGCGAATTAATAAGTCAATAACAATACCGGTGCTAGATATAGGTTTCCCCCATAGTTATTTTTTTATAGAATAAGGGTGACAAACGAGCACACAGTCCACCTGATGGTAAGTGGATGCTGTGGCCCATAGACATCTACATCTATCCTCGATTAAGAATCGAAACGCAGATGCGTTGTCACCCGTGAGGACTAAGATAGAATGCCTCGTTTGCAGCAAAAAGGGTCTCCGGATCTTTACACTCACCATACGAAACACAGCAGCATTAAGCTGCTATTTTACGCTGGTATTCTGTGAAAACGTGGTCCTTCCCGGTCGAGCCGACCCTTTCGTTCTTCAACCATAATATAGCTGCGGCGTTGCTCTACCATGTAGTATAGTGGTACCACGTAGTGTGTCGTATCTTATTAGAATGTGGGCTAGTGATGATGACTCTTACTCTTAAAATGATTTTTCTTCAAATATTAGAGTTATAAAAAATTGATAAGTTTAGTAGTGTATGGCTACTGTAGCCCTTGAACTCATACAACTGACATTTAAACGAAAAAAAGCTAGTGGTGCGTTATCACTCCTGAGAACTAACAAAAAAATTCTTCTCAACAGCTGTATTATACTATTGAATTATAATATTATACGGTTTATAATCATCCCACAATATTATACCCGCTCTCTTACCCATCAACCAGGAGCACATAGAAAAAAAGGTCCCATTATCGTCTTAGGAGTCCGTCCAGAGAATTTAGAATCATTGATTATGTACAGTTGTGAGATTTTTTTAGCTAACGCTGCCAACAGTAGAAAACCGTTTCCGTTACTTTTACAGCCTACAAAAGTCTACTGCTGCACATAGGCTTCCTTCATAGGAGACATTTGCCATAGGTGCCACGCTTGATAAGAGCAACCGCTGTTTTTCATTTTTAATTGTTAACCTCTCATCCCCCTAGCGGTCTTATGATATCGCGGCCATATTTCGTCAAATCCCTAGCGGTCTCATGAGGTCACACCCACCCACAGCACTTTAACTCATAAAAACTTATATGTAGAGACTACTTTTCTATGAAGAAGTTTGGCATTATATATCAATATGAAATACTCTATCCTCTAGTGCAATAAAAAGCTGTTATTTTATGAACATTTATTTATAATCTACGTTCATTTCGTACGCCATTTTCACGTGAATGTCGTTGTGTTGATTTTTGAATTTTTCTAGTGATTTATCAGTGTTTTAGCATGTGTTTTATTATAAAATTGTAGTGAATTTAAGTAAATAATTTCAAGTAATATATATTGAAATAATTGAGATTTTCACGCTACCGCCATTCGCTCGGTATGTT